TCATTCTAGTTTTCTCTTTCCGTTATTTTAACTCCCTTCTCTGACGGTAAGAAACTTGCCTCCCATTTATCCTTCCTACGTTAACTTCTTTATCAGTGCTCCTGTATGTAACTGATCCCCTATCACCACCATTACCCCATCCTAGCACAGATGTCCTTCTCACCACATGACCCCACGCTGGGCCACCCCTCTTCACGTGGAGGCTCATTCATCCCACTCAAGCTCTGACAACCCGAATCTGGTCACCCTACCCTGTGGGCTTGCCCTCTTCATCCTACTTGGGCTCTGACACCCTGCCCCCACCCCAACAGGATGCCCTCTTCACCCTGCTCAGGCTCTGATACTCCATGCTATACCATTCCCCCAACTCTACCCCTTGGGATGCCCTCTTAACCCTGCTCAGGTTCCAAAACCCCACTCTAGATCACCATAGCTCCCCCGCCACACCCAACCCAACCACCATGCTCTGCCCACCTAAAGGCTTTAGGGCTAAATTCTTGGTAAGAGGAAGAGCACCACAAAGGTTTTAATTTTTTGTTTTGAGCTCAAAGAAGCTGACTGTGGCATCCCGAGACATCAGCTGGCTCATCTGTTGTCCCCAGAAGATGACTAGCCCTGTAGGGGCAGGGACCACCTTGTTCACACTTCCCCCATCTCCCCATTTATCAAAAGCAGCCTCTTGTCATCGACCCCTACCCTCAGCTCCTTGAAAGATAGCTCTGGTTTCTGAGGATAGACAAGGAGGAGGCCCCAGGGGGCCACATTCCTCAGCCACACATGCAGATGCCCACGCATGCAGATACCCACGCATGCAGATGGCAGAGAGCTGCTTGCCCAAGAAATCAGGCAGTTGCCCAGGTGATGGAATGATGGAATTTCTGGTGTGCTGAAAGCTCATCGACCCGAAAATAACTCTCTTGATCACAATCTAAACTAGTCTTCAGACTTAAGACCTGGTGTTTGTTACCATCTGACCTGGGAACAGCAAGTAGACTGGGCAGAGGAAGGCAGCAAGGCAGTAGCAGTGAGACTTGCATTCTCATTCCCAACTCTGCTCCCAACTTGCTGAGTGACCTTGGCAAGTAATTTCTATCTCTAGCCCTACTTCGTCTCTAAAATGGCAATTTCTAAGGCCCGTTTGAAAACTAAGGTCTGTCTGTTACCACACAATTAGTTCAGAGCTGATTCTGTTTGGGGAGGCTGTCTGCATACTAGGCACGCATGCTAAGCACACATCTCAGTGCATCCAGCCTCCCTCAGGTAGGTGAGATTCTCTCCCCACTTTACAGATGAGGATGCTGAGATTCAGAGAGGTAAGTGACCTGTCTATGACTGCACAACTGTTTAGTTTTGGAGCCAGGAGCAAACCCAAGTCTACCCAACTCGGGGTTCCCAGGTGAGGCAGCCCAGGTGTCAGGGCTGGAGCTGTGGCCTATAGTTTTTCTTTTATGTTACAGCAGTTCAACTCAATGCCAGAAATATGCATGGTTCCAAGCAGGCGCAAGAACCATCTGGCAGAGTGGCTGGTCTGAGGCTGCTGTGCTTGGTGATGCCTCCCCCAAGGACTGGGAGCCAGCAGCAGGAGGTGCTTGCAGAACTCCCCTTTGTGCCTAGGACCATGCTCCCTGTGGAATCACAGGAGAAGCCTACTTCCAGAGGGCAAAAACTCCAGGGATATCCTAGTTATGGCAAATTCGCCAAGTCACTGGTGCTGACTTTTCCCTGGGGCAGGTAAAGTGAGGGGGAAGATGGTGAGGGGCATTGAGAGGGCACAGGGAAAGATCACCAGAATCCAAATTCCAACAGTCATAAAAACATGGAACCAAGCCTCTGAAACTCTGCAAGTGAATGTTCTCAGAATGCATTCTGTGGAACCTTGAGGATGGTCCACAGTCAGTCAGTTGGGAAACCCCACACTTGAGCCCTTCTGAAGTCACACGTACCTAGAAAACCAGAAAATAAATCAGAACAAAAATCTGTTTAACCCTGAGTCTCGCAAACCCACCTGACCACCTATATACACAATGCCCCTGAACGCACTTTGAAGAACCTAGATTTAGGGTCTTACAAGTGGGAAGGGGCCCAGGAATGTCAAGTGCAAGGCAGCCAGTTAGGGGCAGAGCCTGCACCAAAACCAAGTGCTGTTACTGCAGCTCACAGCAAAAGTTTAGTCCCAGGCTAGCATTTGTTTGGTGATTCTGAGTAGGCCAAAAATGGATTCACAGGAAAACTGTGCCAAACATTTTAAATATCAAAGCAGATGTAACATGTCACAGGCTGCTGACAGATGTACCAAGGCACCCCCAACTCTTTAAATCACTGCTTTAAAAAAGGAACATAGTTTAAGTTGTTTAATTGTTCTCAAAACGCAAATTAAAATGCTTATAATAATCTGAACTTTGCATCTTGTTTGCCATTTCTAGCAGAACTTTAAATAGTTCTTTCCAGAGGCTGACGGGTGAGGGAGGAAGGCAAGGCAGGAAGATAGAGGAGAGTCTGATGATCACTTAATGTTAATTCAGACCTATGCAATAAATAGGTTCAATTCAATGTTACAGAAAAATATTACACAGGAAAATCTCTCAATGTTCTTGTTTATCTTGAGTTGCTTGGTGAAAGCAATCAAGATGGAACACAAAGTTAAATGTTAATAGCACTAGAAAACTCTGAACTTTATCCACATAGAAATTTCTTAACAAGGTTAGAAACACTTGAAAGGTTAGGCTCCATCTGTCTGAATCTTGCCCAAGGTTGGGGTAAGGATGTCATGACCTCTCCACCCTCCCACACAGAGTCCTGGAGCTCCCACCCCAACCGATCCCTGGCCTCTTAAGCCCCTGCTGTTTCAGCACAAGTATCTCCTCCCTTCAGGCTGGAAGACCACTCTCCCAGGAGACACTCCTGGGCTACATCTCAACTGTGGCCTGGCTCACTGCGCCAGCAGGGTGGACTGTCCATCCACAGTGGGAGTTTTGGCTTCTTCCTCCTGCTCCCAACAACACCGCTACTGATCTGTTATCTCTGTGTCCTCCGAGTCAGAACACAATGCCTGTGCCTCATCAAACAAGTCACAGAGAGCATCAAAGGCAACACTTTGCATTCTTTTGGCTGCCTGCAGGCCTTGCAGGGTAAGAAGTACAACACTAAATGTCTCCATTCTCGCCTCTGGAATCCAGGGGTGAGTATGCCACCTGTGGGAACTGCATCAGGGATCATCATGGTGAATGGTCACAGAATAGCCATTCCTCTAATCTCCACTTCCTTTAGAGCTATTTAAATTACAAACTGAAATGTCACAAATGGAAAAGGTAAATTCTAAAGAGGTACAAATAGGAACAGCTTCACAGTCAACAATCCCACTGAAGACCAACTATATGCCAGGCACACACGTACCTCCTCTAATCTTCACGACAACTGTTCAGAAAGAAATTTTGTCCCCATTTATAAACACAGTGCAAGGAAGCCTAAAAGGAGTGAAGTTCCCTGGTTTGGGCTTTCTTACTTTGATTCTTGACCAATTTTTCATCTGTCTAAACTGTACATGCCTGATTAGAAAGTAATGAGACTTCTGTAAGATCATAGGAAGCACCAAAATTGCAGCCCAGTAGGGCCCATGACCTCCCCAACATTCCCACTGCTCTAAATTAAGGAAGACGAAAGAGATATGCAATCCCCGAACCCTGATTAGATCCTGGATCCCTGTTCCTAAAATATGTACTTTGACATATATATAGGGGTGAGATGCCTTGATGTTTAGGTGATTCAGGGGGCAGGGGAATGTATGTGTGTGTACTGACAGAAAGATACTGACGGGTGGAGGGGAAGGACAGGAATAGAGAGAAAGCAAATGTGACAAAAAGTTAGTAACTGGTGAATCTAGGTAAAAGAATATGGGTCTTCAATATTCTCCTCTTTCAACTTTTCTGTAGTGTGATGGTTGTGTCTCACCTTGGCTGGGCCATGATTCTCAGTGGTTTGGCAGTTGTTAGGTAGTTTGGCAGTCATATGATGTTGTGATCTCTTCCATGATGAGATCTGATATAATATGATCACCTCCATGATGGGATCTGCTGTGAGTAGCCAATCAGTTGAAAGGGAGTTTCCTTGGGCATGTGGCCAGCATTGAATGTAAGTGGACATTCTGGCAAAGCTCGTGGGCTTTTGCTAGCTCTGGATGCTGCAGCTGGCTCCTGTTCATCTCACCTCTGATTTTTGGGACTTGAGCTAGCAGCTTATCTGTGGTTTTGTTGGCCCAGCTTGGGATTCATCGATTTTCGCAGCCTGTGAGCAAGAGCCCTGCTCTCTGACCTACTGATCTTGGGTTCACCAGCCCCTGTGGCTAGCTACATGAATCAGGAGAAACCTCTATCCTGACCCACGGACTTGGGACGTTCCAGCCTCTACAACTGCATGAGCCATTTCCTTGATACAAATCTCTCTATATATTTATACGCTTTACTGGTTTTGCTTCTCTAGAGAACCCAGCCTAAAACACGTAGGTTTAAAATTTTTCAAAATAAAAAGTTGGGGAGAAAATTTGATAAATCAGCTTTAAAGAACAAAAAATTCAACATACTTAAAGTCTCACAATCAGAAGGCAATGCATGCACCCTCATATAAAGAATCCCATTTTCTTGAACAGGTTTTACTGTGCCCCATTTAAATGGTGAAAAGCACTATGGTGCAGTCACTCTGAAATTCCTCAATGGATCCTCAATGATTCTAAATTAGGTATGTGAAAAACAGCCCAATTCAGACCATGACAAATGTACCCAAGAGGCAAAACTCACAAACCCTATTACGCTCTACCCACAGCTTGGAACTCTACATATATCTCAAAATAGGCTTTAAACTATTTTTTCTTAATCAGCACTTCTGTTGATTTAAAGCTAGAGAAAGATACATTTTTAGCTGCATGGTCAGATACCCTATATGATTAGCAGATAATTCCATTCATCTTGAATGGGATGATTTATCACAAAGAAAGTCACCAAAAAGTGTAAGCTGTCTGGATTCATGTTTATTGAAGCCAGTAATCAGAGACATCTTCTTTTGTTTCCAGCACTAGAAAGCAAGGTTCCACGTGACTGCGTATGTACCCAGATAGAGCCACACCCCTGGACTAAGGCTGGTGGGGGACAAGCTGCAGTCCTAATTTTAAGTTAAAAACACCATAAACTTAGTGTGTAGACAACAGTGAACGTTCACGTACAGCATCAACATTGTTAAGGTTATGATACACAGAGCAGTCACTTTCAACTTTGTTAAATTAATAAAACATGACAATGCCTTCAGTTTAAATACTGATTTTAAAATGCCAATCCAAAAAAAAAAGTGCAAACAAAATAAAATAACCTAGCAGCATACCCGTTGCATTTTTAGGATAGACCAATTTGTGGCCGTTTTCTCAGCCACATCTTCAAGGTTGGGTTTATTTCTTTGATTATTTCCATTTTAAAGACGAACAGCAGATGTAACCACTATAATGTATATAAATAGTCAAAATTGTCTTTAACAGTCTACCATACAAGTGTATTCTGCAAATAAAATTAATTTTACTTTAAAAAGTAAAGGCTGTTTGTTGATTGGCCTTTGGTTCCAATGCTTGAAAACCCCAAAATAACAACAAAAAAAACCTCCCCTCCCTCCACCCCGCAAAAAAGAACTGTGCAGCTCCCCAAAGTTGGTAGACTTTGGCAACCGCTGAGCACACGACACTATGCATCAGCTTTTTCTGATATACGAGCATCCACTTCTCATGAGTAACTAAAAGTGATCTCCAAAAAACCTTCCTTCATAAGACAGGTGTCTTAGCATTTCATCAATTTTAGAACATTTTATATTGACACAAAAAGTGCTTATCATTTCAAATGATACAAAATAAAAATGAAATTTTGCATTAAAATTTAAAAATCACACTGTATCTGTCTTAGGCATATGCCTTTCCAAGAATTCTTTACTGCTTCTGAGGTCAATCATTTTGTTCCCCAGCCACTATGGAGAGAGTAAGTGACCCACCTTCAGTGTGGCCACAGGCTGTTTGGCATCAATTGGTCACTACACCACAACCATCATTCCACAGTCAGTTTACTGTCATTACCTAGACAACCTGGTCATTGGAAGCCACAACATATACACATATTTTAAACTGAATTTAAAAAAAAAAAAAGCATATTTTCAACAATAAAACTGGCACAAGAAACATGGGGGTTTTTGTTTTTGTTTTGTTTTTTTGTCAGAAAGGCAAGTTAATACTCAGCTCTCTCAACAGTGTTCAGACATTTACAAAAAAGCAATTCAAGACCATCTTAGAGTCTTGTTATATAATATAGGCAATTAGTTATGCCCAGTACTATATTAGTGGTCAATCAAATCTGGTATGTAAAAGTAACAACATTAGGGAAGTTATGTGCAGACACAGTACAAAAAACATTCATATAAAAAAGTAAACTCCACATAAGTGAATCGTGGTTTTTCCCTTGGTTTGACAACAAATGTTTTACACATTAAATTCATGGTAGTGTTTGCATTTCAACGCTGTGTCATGTATAAAAGTGCCATTTCAAATCCACAACAGTCATTTCCAGAATGGTGGCATAACACGACACTGTGCGTGAATTTGTAGTAAATGGGAAGACACCTGAAACTCATTTCCATAAGAAAAAAAAAATGCTACATTTTATGAAAAACACAAAACCAGAGAAATGTATCACTTCTAATTTCCATATAAAACATTCACACTTCTTTTTCCCTCTGATAGCACTGATCAGACCAGGGAGCTAAGACAAGACCCTTTTGCATCAGTGGAAATCTGGGAAGGTCTCCACGGACCGTAAGGCAGGGATTGGTGCAAGCCAATTAACCAGAGTGCAATTACGTTAACAACCACCCTCAGACTTTCTGTAGCACACTGCATTACAGTAAAATGAGAGGTCAGTCACCCACCCTATTAGTAGGCTAGCCTGTGGTAGTTAAAAAAATAAATAAAGTAGGAGCTATTTAGAAAACACAATTCAAAGTCAACTAAATTTGTAACTGCTGACTTTCAACACACCCCACAGTGACTGTCTGCCCCACAATACACATGTGTGGAGCCCAGCACCTCCTTACAGGCCATGGCCTGGATCACGCACATGGGTCCTGGGCAACCTGCCATCTTCCCCACCCGTGTCAGCTCCACCTGACACAGGCACCCCCACACTTAACACATCTCTAATAAGCTAAAGATGCATTCAGAACAAATCTAATTCCCATTTTGCTTAGTGTTTAGTTTGGAAATGCTTCTAAATTTAAATCTTAAACAATGATTATTCGACTTCTACTGAACACAGTATTTACCGACACTGCTCATCTCCTCCTCCTTCCACCTCCCTCAACGTTCAGCTTCCCCATCATCACTTCTTTCATTCCTCCTTCAGTCTTTCTCTTTCCTGGACTTTCTGCCATTTCATCTGCTTCCCAAGAACAAGTGAATTTGCTAACAGGCAACCAGTCAAACTGCCATTTGATCAATGATTTCCTGGTCTCATTTGCTTCACCTGATAGGAACTGGGGCCTCTTTCTCTCGATCTACCTTCCCCTCCACAAGAAGCCCAGCTGCACTTGTGTCCACAAGAGAGCCACATGCCCGAGAGTCCGAGGGTTATCCTTAACAAAGGGGTCTGACACGTAACCTTCCTAACTGGGCATTTCACACTTGGACAAGCCAATGAAGTGGTTTTTTTTTGTTTTTTGTTTTTTGTTTTTTATCTCCCCAGCCCCAAAAAACTGATAGCATGTGCCATATCAAAAAAATCCTGGTCTTAGCAGATCAATATACATAGTTATTTGGTCATTTTACATATGCACTTTTTAAGGAGTATCAAGCTTCATTTTCTGTTGAAGAGTTTGTTACCATGGGGTCTGGTTTTCGAGTCATTCTATCCAGTTCTTCCTGAACATTTGTCAACACAGTTTTTTGTCCTTAAAAAAAAAAAAAAAAAAAGAATTAAAACAAAAGAACGTTTAGAATTATGCAGACTTCTGTAATCACTTGTGGTGATTATAACCTCAGTTAACAGGAGGGAAGGCTTTTCTCGTTGCACTGATTATAAGGAGATGGACCCTAATTCAGCCCTTCTTAATTCCAAATGCCACAGGTCTGTGACCCACACCCCCCGCCCCCCAACTACGTGACTCCCTGGCAAGGGATGCCTTTGTGCTTAACACAAGGGCCTTTCTGAAACTTTCTCACTACCCAGCCCCAACCTCTATGAGCTCTCACCGCCAACTTCCTAGAGATGGCATTTGAGTTTTGGGCATGCAGCAAACCACTTTTGTTTCCCCAGACAGAATGGGTGCTTAGGTTTTGTTTCTAATTACAACAATCTAGACTGGCTCGTATGGGTAGCCTGGAAATACCATGTTTCAAAAGGAATGTAAGATGAAGGACAGGTCATTTCTGCACAAAGTTGGTGTTCATATTTTTTTTTTGCTGTCAAACACTAACTGGGCCTGGAAACAACCCCCTATTTCCTATTTCCAACCCACAGACTGGGCCACCAGACCAGATTCTGAGTCTCCAAGAACTCAGCGGCCCCTGGAGGCCCAGGCTGACCTGTAAATGGAGTGGTCACCTTTGCCCTGGAAACACCAACTGGGGAAAACGCCATATTAACATACTTTATACCCAGTGGAAAACTAAAAGCAAAGCCCCTTTTGAAGTGTCCTTAAGCTCCCTGGGCAAATGTGTCACTTCCCAAAGAACTTCTTTTGTTTCAGAGATCTCCAAGACACAACCTTGCCCCACCAGCCCATACAGAAGGACAGGTGGGTGGGCTGCCACAGAGAAGAGAGGTGTATGTGTGATGGCGGGGGAAGCTTCATGGGAAAGGAGATGAAAACCCTCCAGTGAGGCAGTGAGGGTACACAGGCTCCAGCGCATGGTAAGACTGGGGCAGTGGAGTGAACAGAAATACTTATAAAACACCACAGAAAATTAAATAGAATAAATAAAATGTCAATGGCATACCCTCATCCATGACCTCCAGTGAAAAGAGCTTCTACACCAGGGCCACGTATACGGTTTGGGGTATACCTCAACTCACTCAATAGACAGTTCCTGAGAACCTGACTGTACTAAACCCCACCTTAAATGCACCAAGGAAACCTGCATGGTTTCAGGTAATCCTACTGCAAAGCACAGCACATGCTCAGTATAAAGTGGAGATCTGCTTCCTTGCTTAGCTGTTCAGAACACTGAGGGGCTACAGTTCAGGTGAAGGCAGACATCGCCATCCTTCCAGCACTGCCCAGCCACAAGGGTACCGGGTCTCTGAGGGCCCTTCCGTACCTGACTTCTTGGCTGTGCTCTGCACCCCACCAGCACCAGGACTTCCAGGAGAGCCTGTCTTCTTACTCAACAGACTGTTGAAGAAACTGGCCAATACCCCTTCACTTGCTGCATTATCTAAGGAAATGTTAACAAAAAAAAAAAAAAAAAAGCATCATACAAACTGGATGACTTAATGAACCAAAGAAACTGGTTCTCATCGTGGAATTACCCATTTGTGGCTATCATCATCCTAGGATACTGAGCATATCCATTTACTATGATTCCTTACACACTGGTACTGCTGAAGCTAATTGTGTGGCAGCATGATTATTAAGTGGAAATGTGTTTACATTTTCCACCTCTTTGGGGCATAAGAGATGACCTGCACTCCACATCATCTCTCTGTTCACCAGGCAGTGTTTTTCAAAGTTATATAAGCCCTTAACATTTCAAAACTGCTGTGAAAAGCTGTCATCCTGAATATAAGATGCCCATCTAACAGGCAAGCATTAATAAAATTTTGTTTTGAGGGTTTTATAGCAACCAATATCTTTTTATCACTAAACTACTGGGATAAAGGCTACTTAAAAAGTAATTGAGCTTGACAAGAGAAGTGAAGAGGAAAAAAATCCCACAATTCATAAATAGTAATAATATAAACATACTGAGAACCAAAACTAAGGATTTAAAATATACACTTTAAAGTGACTTTCCATTCTGTATACCTCTCTGAAGGAACCTGCAGACCGTAACCGAGGTCTTTCACAAAACCAGGTGTGAAGGCCACTGATTCCAACAAAGGAACAGGCCCTAGCCTCTGCCAACCATGAGCCTCCCTCTCCTTCCCAGGAGAGATGAAGTGGAAAGCAGACCTTCCTGGGGAAGAAAACAGCCCAGCTGCCCTGGGTCTCTTCTCCCAAACTCAGTCACCTACACCTTACAAGCTCAAGCCTAAAACGAAACAACTCTCATACCAGGGCAGGATACGTACTTTTGATGTTTGGATCTGGCTTCTTTACCGATGTGCCTGGGGAGGCGCTGGGTACGCTGGCTGGCCCTCCCCGGCCCTGGGTTCTTGGAGAGCCAGAAGGTCCTCTTGCAGGGGATTCCTAAGTCCAAAACCAGCCCAGGTCACACACATGCATAAAAATAACAGGAAATACATATTCCAAAAATGAAGACATGCTTGTGCAGGTTATTTTTCATGGTCCAGGGAGAACAGCACAGGATTGGGAGTTTGCTCCCAGCTCAGTCCCTTTCTAGACCTCAGTTTCTCCAGACAGAAGCAATATCAAGATAACAAGGTCTGCTCACTCTAACTCCCAGAGTTGTATTTCTTCATCATACATTCCCTGAGTTCCTACTATGTTCCTGGCCCTGAGCTTTTAGGGAGACCAGATGCCTTCTGAAAATACAAAAGGCCAGACAAATATAAGCTCTCACAAATAATGATATAAAGTTTAGACACCCACAACACTGGGCCTTGACCCTCGTTTAGTGTAAGGTACTCACGGAAGCTCTCGTGGGCGTGGCTGGCTGCTTGGCAAGGAGTGACTGCAAAGGAACACAACAGCCATTAACCAAGGCCTGCAGAGTGCACTAAAGGTCTGGAAAAAAACTTACTCCCATGTATTCCACTAGAGGGCACCATTAACAAGAACCCAATCACGTGTTTTACACTAATAAATGCAAAAAATTAAAATTGAGCAGTTTGGTATATGGTGAAAAAGATACTGCAAGTAACCAGCTCTGAAGCTAGGGAAGCAAGCAGGGCATAGAAGGGAAAACCGTTGGCAAAAAATCCATCAACACCCACTGCTGACCTGCCTGCACCATCAGGCGGACCCATGAAGTGTCTAATCACGGTATGGGTGAAAAAAAAGGTGAGACTGAGTCAGTGTTCTAATAGCTTGGGGAAGTTGCTCTCCTCACCTGTAAAATGGACATATCAGTTCACCTGCCTGTGTGCATAAGGCTGTCTGGGGCTATGTGAATAATGGAAGTGAGGTCAGTTCACTTGGTACACTGTCAGCAACCTAAACTGCCAGAAAACCTACATTTCCAGAGGAAGATGGTGCTTAAAAAGATAGTAAGCTTGTTGCTGGCGGAGAATCTGCAAGGCAGGGAGGGGTGCTCCTGAGGCAGGTGGTCCAACCCCTACTCAGTACTAATCCTAGAAAGGTAGAGAACGAGGAGCACTGTCCCCAACCCCTTCAATGCTGTGATCCCCCACCTGCAGGCATTCCCACCCAGGGAACTGACACCGTAAGCATGAGGAGGCTCTGTTCTGGCGTCGGTGCTCGTCTTACCTGTTGCTTCATTAGGAATACCTGCTCATCCTCCGCTGCCAACTCCTTGTCGTGGACCAGCTGTGAAGTGACACACTCGTTTGTGATCACAGCCCAAGAAATTCCCAACTACGGTCAAAATTCATGCTGAAAGACTGTTGGGCTTGGGCCTCCACGTGGGTCTGGGGGGTGTGGAGGGGCTGACAGGACTACAGAGTGATGTTCTTCTAGCCTAGCACAGACCCTCTCCCAAAACTAGCCTTGGTATGTGGTCAACTGACATTTTTAAATCTGGAAGGCTACATGCCAGACAAGCACTAAACACCACCTCCCAAATCAGGGTGTACTGGAGACTGTAGGAGCGAGAGAATCTAGTAACAGCAATGCAAAGGCAGCAGCAGCACCGTCAGGACTTGATGGGAAACCCCAACCCAATTCCACAGGGGCACTTCAGCTGCCACACTGAGCCAAACCTCAAGTTTCAAAAGGGCCTTGGGCTACTTTTTTTTTTTTTCTTTAAAGAGATACAATGTGTAAGACATGTTTCTTAATAGGTTTCTTTTCCCATGAAAGCAGGAGCCCTGGTGGCTTAGTGGTTAAGCGCTTGGCTGCTAACTGAAAGATCACCAGTTCAAACTCACCAGCTGCTCAGTGGGAGAAAGATGTGGCAGTCTGCTTCCATAAAGATTACAGCCTTGTAAGTCCTACAGGGCAGGTCTACCCTGTCCTATAGGGTCACTATGAGTCAGAATCAACTCAACGGCAACAAGTTTGGTTTCCCGTGAAAAACACAACTGTTAAAGCAACTGATTTGGGTACCTTTCTCACAGGAGGTTTCACAATGAAGTCTTCATATGCGTCTTCTGGCTTCACTGTTGTGAAATTTTCATGTAAAATAGCTATTTTCTTTTCATTGTCCCACCCTGCGGGTCTAAAGGCAAAGAGGGGGGGACTGACTTGCTTTTCCTGGGCTTGCCTTATGACATACTCAGAATACATGCCAGGTTACAGGACCCCTGGGTGGGACCCCTTCCCATGAGATCTAATCTGTGGTTGCAGCTTCTGGTGGACAAGCCAAAATTCAATGCAGATATAACCCACAGCTCAATGTCACAGGTCCTGCCCCATACTGAGCTCTCGGGGCCTGAGGTCTGAGGAGCAGCATGAGATCTTACTGACTACACATGCTGACCCCCAGTAAGTGTTCAGAGTTCTCCCACAAAGCCACCCTGAAGTGCAAGGGCACAACAGAGCCCTGTTCCAACACAGAGGAGAATGCAGAGAGCAGCAGAGGACGGAGCTCTGGATGGGACTCTCTCTCTTGGGTTCTGGCATAGAGGTGTTCCCCAAAGGCCTGTTTCTCTCCCTGAGAACTCTTCTGACAAGTCACCTTGTAGATTGCTTCACTAATTTTGTTGGTGTGGGAAGATGTGCCCTGGAACCAAGGGACACCAAGGCCTGCATCTATCCTAGGCCTCAAACCAGAGGGGTACAAGAAGTCCTCAATGCTCCTATATGGGTACAGCCCAGCTCGACATCCCAGGTCACGATAGCACCTAGGTTCCACTGAGTTAAGTCGCAACCCATGGTTCCCACCTGAGCCTCCTAAAGGTAGCAAACTGTAAAATGTCCTACATGACAGACACTTTTCAACTTAAGAAGATCTAAAAGACACCAACTGACTGTTTGCACAGGCCTCTCATTCTCCATCCAACTTCTGCTCCATAGCTCTTCAACCAAGAAAGTGCTTAGCCAGGGTACCCTACCCACCCAAATGGTCTTGCTGACTTTAACAAGCTCCCAGCAAGCTGCTGACAGACAACTACCAGCAAGTCAAAAGGTGTACAGGGACAGGCCACAGTGAGGTACTGCTGCAGTCTCCAGAAGTCACAAGACTCTTCCACTCCAGATCAGCCCCAAACCCAACAGGCCTCTCTGCTCCACCTGCTCCTTGGGACCACATGTGATCTGGTGACGGCACTCACTGAGCTTGTCTTTGGTACCTACTGCCTGCTCTGGACAGGGATTCTCTAAAACCAGTCCCAGCCTCTAGGTTTGGTTGTCTGTGAGTCTGTGTGGGGCTAATCCTGAATGTTCACGAGGCAACTTACTCATCTCTGAGAGCTCTAGGCTTTCATGCCTTCTTCAGCTTCTCACATTGTCCTCCCTCCGCTCCTTCTGGTCTGCTGGCAAACACTACTCATCCTTCCAGCATCACCCCCTCTGCGTTCTATGCCCCCTTGTACCTCCTCCATTAGCCCACAACTGCCCTTCCCCTCCTCAACTGTCATTATTCGTTGATACGTGTATATCCCCCACAATGCCATGTGCAGGGACTACATCTCATTCACTTCTGTATCTCCAGCATAGAACCTGGGCACCCACGAGTTGCTCAGTGTTTGCTGCATGAACAAATGTAATTTTTTTTAAGAGGGTATCTAAGCACCAAAGATACCTAAACACTTACCAACACAGTCCCCTCAGAGACCACAGTTGCATTTAGCAACACTTATTACTCTCCAGAAAGCATATCAGAGAGAAACATAAAACACAACTCAGGCAAACAGGTACCCAAGTCTCTGACCAGGATAATCAGCCCATTGGCTCCCAAAGTGTGATATGAAGGAAACATACAAAGCATTCAGCATAGCTGAAGCCAGCAAAGGGGCCTACGGTCATCCCTGCCAATAGGCAGTGAAGCCAGATGCTTCAGTAAATACATTCAGGATTCTCAAAGCACAATTCCCTATACTTCAACTCCTTCCCCAGCCAGTGTTTTACCAGAGTTAACAATAACTGGCAAAAATAGCTGGCTTGAGTTTCGGTGACTTGCCTTCAATGAAGAAAGGCAGTACTCCCCACCTCAATCTACCCACTTCCCTCAGTCCTGAGGCAGAATGCCATATAATCTGGAACACAGCAGAGAAGGGAAGCTGGCCTATCAAGTCCAGCCCAAGCATTTTGCCCCAGAGCAGCAGCAAGCTGGCTACCTAAGACATAGACAGAAGGCACCTTACTTGAAAGAGTAAAATATAAAAAGCAGATATAATATTAAAAAAGTCTGAAAGCATCACCTCCAAAGAACTCACATAAAAACTGCATCCTTTTCCACAACTAAGGCAGGTATGGTAAAGTGGAAACCATATGTTTTATGAACAATGTACTTATACAACAAGTCGAGGTTTTTCTCTTCCTTCACTGATGTGTAAATCAAGGCAGCTCCATCTAATCAATCTGCTTAAGGAAAACTGATTCACTGTAGGAGGAGATAAAATCAAACACACACAAGCACAATCCTCAAAACACTATTCACAGGTGGACCATTATTTGATCAATACATGATTAGCACACAAAGTGCTGAAATTTTTAAAACTAAAAATAGTAGCAGGTGAACCAGGTCAAAAGCATAAAGTATGTTGATGCCGGACGGCCTGCAGTTCATTTTTTAACATGTAAATTATTCCTGGCTCTGAGACAAACCCAGGAAACACCCTCAGCATATCCAGGCACACAGATTCCTCCCCAGCCAGATGCTCACGTGTAACCAAGTTCACCATTAAACACACCTTTTATGTGGGATGGTGCCTACATGTAACAGCACCACCAGTTGGTGTCTTCAGCCTCCACTGGGCTGGACAAGCTAAAGGATCCAAAGGAAGAAACAGGAACTCACCCCAGGGTGTGCGACTGTGACACCAAGTGCTATTGATTTTTTATAGAAACAAGACTCAAAGGCTTCTGACACAGCATCTATCATGGACAGCACAAAGCACAAATATGTGGGAAACACCTGTGTCATCTAAACCACTATCCAGTTGGGTAATTAACCACTGCTGCCAAAAAAGCAAAGTTTAAAAATTTCAAGACAGTATGATAAAAGTAATTCAGCAATAAAATTACCACATATCAGTTTTCTTCTTAATATGAAAACTTACCAAATGCACAACATTAAAAATAAAACATGATAAAAGACAGACATAAGCTGACAAGCCTCAAATTACAAAACAAAAAAATACAAAGCCAGTAAGAAAATCTCTTCCCAGGAGAAGACTATCCTGGATTCAGGAGGTGCTTTATCTCTTTGAAGACGCCCTGTTTGAAGAGAGGGGAGTCGTGCCCCTGGGCCCCGCCACAGCGCCCCAAGGATACACTGGAGGCAGAAGCTCCGAAGGTGTGACTGGATGAAGTCAAAGTGCTCGTCCCTGTAGTCATGCTCCTTCTCCAGGACACTCACTGCATCACACTGCAGGGAAGACAAACAGAAAGACAAGGGAGTCAGCTTCCTGCCTCACTGCCTGCTGAGGGTGGGTCGACATAGGGCCTTCTTCAGAATACGTATCAGGACTCCAAAGAAGAAAGCCAGAGCTTTCTTCTAACGATCCAAGTAGTAATTAAAGTAAACAGAGTGAAAGCAACTGGAGATTTTTCACTTTTATCTTGGGCCTCAGTTTCCGTATCTGTAAACTGGGGATAAAGTAGACCTGGTCACCTCACAGTTGTTCTAAGTCAAACAAGGTAACATCGGGAAACAAGCCACACTACATGGCTGTGCACTGCACAATTCCACCGGACTCCACACTCAGACTATGAGGCAGACAGCACACTCTGCAGTTTGGGAACATGGTGGCTCTGACTGGGAATAAAGTGCTTTTGAAATTAAAAGTGTTTTTAAAGCTACTTTCTTTTCTCCTGTAAGAGACACAACTTTATTTCTCTATGACTGAATTTAATTTCTATTCCTACTTAAGCATTCTACAGGGTAGAAGAAACTCAAACCTAGAGTTCTCTTCCTTCTTTTCGTAAGGTTGTTAATGTTCCTTTCTAAAAATCCTTCCAGGTCCAACAATATGTGCTATCTACTTGTACCCTTAGGAACCAAGGCCCAAAAGTATTCTGCTCTCCCACATTATTATTTTCACCATGATTTGGGACTAGGTTAACTGGTTTACACAGCCTTAAGAAAACGGCTTTTTAGCTGAGTCTGAATCACTCGATAAAGTCAACAGTGCTTCTCAGAGAGATTACCCAGGTCATGAGCAAACTGAGAAATGTCATGTTTCCAGCAGCAAAAGTAAACGAAAGTATTTTCTATTCAGAGATATTCAATGTACCTTAAAAAACCCCAAATAAGCTCAACTCTCCCTTGGGAAGCTCATCAAATGTTCTTTCAGATGGTGCTTGTTCACTGGCCAAACACAGGCAAGCTTAGAATCCCCTGGCACGCACCTTTGTACACACCACCAATACTGGGATCCCCAGGTTATGAGTTAGCACATTGTCACCGAGAGGCAGGGCAACATTTTCTTCATCCGGTCCTGAGGTCAAAGGCCCTCTTCTCTGTGGGGAACCCTGACAACCTTCTTCAGGCTCGACATACTCTTGGAAATCTTTCACAACTACAGGGGAAAAAAGAAAATAATAAGTGTGTGTGTGTGTGTGTGTGTACACAGACACACTATTAAAAATACAGACGGTAGCTGTAAGAAATTGAAAATGCCAGTATAACAAGCACAAAGCGTAAGGGTTGTGACAATCTTCCCAATCCCATCCTACTGCAACATTAGGGATCTAAAGATAGTAATGCAAAATGCCAGTTGTACCCAATGCAGTCTGACCTATAAAACTTTAGAGCAGCAAAGACAATTCCCTGGACATCTTCAACTGCAGCCAACTCTTAAAACACCTTTTAAAAAATTCTAAGGCTTCATAGCTCATACTATGAAAAATGTCACTTTTCATATATATCTTAGGTTTTCAAAATATCAGAATAGCTGAACTGTGTTACTTCAACAACGGTGATCATTAGAAACAGCTATAATTTATAAAACTCCTCAGAGTCTTCATCAGAAATACTTAGTAAAACTACTGAATTCCGTTAAGAACTCTCTGTTTCTATACTATTGAGGGATGTCAGTATTGAGGAACAAGGGTGTACTCGCCCAGCTCTAGCACCATATACATTCCTCATCGTCCACACTCTCAGGGACTCAGTCTCATCTTTAAGGGATCCTGAGTCACGTGTACAGTGTACATGGGCCCGATCCTGCCTACATCAAAAACAGGGTTAGAGGTACAACATCCATTTCCTGGCACACATGAGCAATACTCTGGCCAAGGGTGCAACCCCACAGGAGGGCTGCAGTGTGATTCATTACTTTTGTGTATGGCCTTTCTAGCCATGGTCTTGTGACTCCCACCCACGTGACTGGGTGGGACTGTGCAAATAAGACCAATTGTGGCCCACCGAGGGGATCGGTCAGTTTTGCCTTAAAAGAGAGACAATTCCAGAGCAGAGAGGAGAGCCCATCGCCAACAAAGAAGGAGACATCTGCAGCACAGACCTGCAGAAGATGGCACAGTGGGCTTCCTGGCCCATGGAGCGAGAAAGCTGAGTACCTTTGGGCAGAGACTGAGGGCCAGGGAGAAGTCTATGCCTGACCCACGAATTTGGGACTTGGCAGCCTCCACAACCACATGAGCCATTTCTTTTATATGGTTTGTGAGTTCTGTGAGACATTGCAGCAAATCAGGGAACCCAAAGACAGGTGGGAGAGTACTGAGGCAACAGGGAATAGCTGATGTTAGAGATAATGGAGTGGTACGGCAGCTTGGAAAAGTTAAACATCTGGGACAATCTTTAACCTCTGCTTCAGAGGAGACATCTTTGTGCTGATCCTTATAAAATAAATTATTTGTTTAAGGGTCTTGGAATTGAGAGTGGTCCATGACTTGGATAAGCCAAAAAACAAACCAAAACCAAACCCATTGCCACTACATCAATTCTGACTCGTAGTGACCCTATAGCACAGAGTATAACTGCCCTATAGGGTTTTCAAGGCTGTAAATCTTTATGGAAGCAGGCTGCTACATCCTTCTTCCGCAGAGCAGCTGGTGGGTTTCAACCACCAACCTTCTGATTAGCAGCCGAGCGCTTTAACCGTTAAACCAGGTAACCATAAAGCCCACAAACCTGCACTTGTACTTGGGTACTTCAAGGCTCATGTGTCAAGCCAGAGAACACAGACATGAAGATTAAAGCAAGTCTGAGCCAGAGGAGCGAACAGGCAGCTCTACCCTTCTATGCCCAATAGGACTGAAGGACCAAAGGCCTACTTCACCAACAACATGATCACTAAGTAAACAAAAATAACTGGATTAAAGAGGACCTAGAGAAAGGTGCACATATGCCTCTTCACCCACAAAACAGGTCTCAAACATTTTTAAAAAATGAATTTTAATTTACAAAGATTTTAGGTTATCACTATATGAGCTTCTGGAATTATGTGGGAGCTCACTGTCTTTCATACGATACTGGACAAATTGAAAACCACCTGACTAAGCCCTAAAGTGCATATGATAATTCATTTCTACAACTTCTCTTTAATTAAGCTCACTCATATAATTTTCTCAGCCAATATAAACAATATATTCCAGTGATCTTTCCTCCATATTGGACAAAAACAGAGAAGAGTTTTCTGATGAACTCAGCATGGCTGTTGAAGGGTCTTGGAGGAATGAAAGTGCCTCACCTTTTCTCTTTAAGAGCATTTTAACAAATCTTCAAATCAATGAAAAATACAATGGTTTAATTGTCTGGGTAAGATCTCTAATTGTGCGAGATCACGTGAGGCATTAGAGCAGGGCTTCCCAGACAGTGAGCATGGCAGAGAGTCTAGGAACGGGCCACAGGTGAGCCAAGCTACCAGAGGAAGTGAAGTGGAGCTGGGGCAGTTCAGTCTGCTCCTGAGCCCATTACCCAGTGTGCTGCACAAATGCTGCTGTATTCTGTGTGCCACAATGTGAAAATGGCTGGGAAGCCTGGATCACACTATTCACACCCTAAAGGTATGACTTACTTATGGCTGGCCAACCACAGTAGGAAACTCACATTTTTTTTTTTAATAATTCAGCATTTTAGAAAATAGGTTAGAAGGAAGAGCAAATGTTTGAAGCATACAAATAAGTGAAAAGGGAAGATTAGAAAATAGAGAGGATTGTGTGATTGAGACAGTAAAATGTGCATTTCCCTTAGGGAACACACATACTAGTGTTAACAATTTCTCTCTAGAGGGTGGGTTAACAGGTATTTCACAGCAGGGCCCACTAACCCACCTGCGGCTCCCCTTTGGCATCAGCTGGGAGTGCGTATGGGAAGGAGATGGAAGACCGCTCAACTCTGGCTGCTGCTGGCTCTTTCTCATTTCTTCCCTCCTACCTTACTGATCAATCCAGAAACTCCACAGCCTTGAGAAGACCCCATCGACGGCACCTAATCTCCTACTTCTACATAAGTCAGGGAAGCTCCAGACATAAAGCCAGAAAGACAAGACTAACCTACACACAAGCACCCCTCTGGTGGCTCTGGGGGCTGCTCTGCCAATCCCCTTACTCAGATGGATCCTACAGCCTAACAGCTGCCACAGACCCACGAACACTGGGGAACCTGATCCTGAAAGACAGTGGCTGTCCGTGGAGCAGCTTTCCAAAATCAGCAGACTGGAGGTTGGTTCTGATTGGAAACTGTAGGACAACAGTCCTTCACTCACTGAATACATACCCAGACTTTAATTAATCTGGAAAGTGGGAGTCATCTGAGCAAGAAGATGGCCAACTGTTTTATTAAAACGTACCCTAAAACTAACACTAAGAAAGACACTCCTTCAATGTACAACATAAAGGCGTGGCTACCATTCCAAACATCTCATTGGAGGGGCAATGAAAGCAGAGGCCCTCGGAAGGTTAACCAGAATCAAGAGTCATGGACCTGGTCCAGCAAACGCTACTTGCCCTCCAGTGTCATCTCCTTTTTCTCCTTATAACTGAACCCTGATATCTAGCAGAACACATGGCCACACAAAGAAAAGACTACATTTCCCAGCATTCTTAAAAGACAGCAGGCATGCACCCTTCAGCCCTTCTTTCCACTTCCTCTATCCTGCTGCCTGAGACACGGATGTGAACGCTAGAGCTCCAGTTGTCAGGAAGAGAACCACACCTAGAGATGACAAAGCAGCAGAAGAAAGGAGCCAGGGTCTTGAGCTGTCTTCCTAGAGCTGCTTTCTAGTTCCAAACTGCCTATCATCTATACGAGAGAGAAACAAACTTCAATCTTGTTTAAGCCATTGCTATCTTGGGTTTCCTGTCACATGCAGCTAAATCTAATCCTAAATGACAAAGACACCAATAATTAAGACCACAAGATAAATTACGTGTCTCATGAAAACATAAACTCCCCAGGAGCAGGTAACTTGTCTGCTGTATTCCCACTGTATCCCCAGTGCCTAGAATAGTGCCTGGTACAGGACAGACACTTTCCCTGTCTGGCAAAGAAAAGAGTTAAAAATAATGCCCTCAGTGATGATGGTTGCACAATAGTGTCAGTGTAATTAATGCTAATGAATTAACTTAAAAGTGGTTTAAATGGCAAATTTTATGTAATGTATTTTACTACAATTAAAAAAAAATACGCTTAGCTAAATCTCTTTCACTCTTTTTTTTTTTCCTGTTTTAACAAATCTTTACAAAGTATCACTCTAAGAAAACAGGTTCAGAGAACTGAAGTCTCCAGTGCATTAACTCACTTATCTGGGTGCGATGCTGTATGTGCAGTGCATGAAAAACAGTTCTTCTTTTGAAATGGTGTATCTTTGGCTATGTATATTTTCACCAAAAAAAAAAAGGTCAAGAAGGGAGAGGGCTGACATGTCGTGGGGTTGTTAACCAATGTCAAAAAACAATATGTGTACTACTGTTTGATGAGAAGCTATTTGTTCTGTAGACCTTCACCTAAAGTACAGTAAAAAAATAAAATAAAATGAAATCCTTGAAAAAACAGTTCTTCAGCCTCAGAACTATTCTGAGGTGTTGTCTTTAGGGTCTCCATTTCAGAGGAATAAGAGGCATTATCTATCAAGGTCAGTGGCTGAAGACAGGCAAGCTGAGCTGCATAACAATCACTGCGGCAAACATGCGGGTGACCCAGGAAATACACGCACACAATAAACTAAAGAATAAGATGAACAACTCCCTGTTTTAGCTAATGTGGGACAAAAGCAAAATGAAGTGTGAGGCAGGAAGACACACAACAAGTAATTCAATGCGAAAAGCACATCAAAATTTCTGAATCCCTCTGCCAGGAAGTGTGAAGATCCCATGTGTCATGCCCAGAAGCCCTCATTAATTTGCCAAAGGGATGATGTCATCCTGTGGAAATAAGCCAGGGTGAGCCAAGCCTGCCCTAGCCAAGACTACTGTCACTGTTGCTGCTGCCACTGCTGCTACTGCCATGGCTCCAGCCCCTGCCCCTCCCACTTCCCTGGCAAGTGGACAGGAGCTGATGTAACCGCACAGAAGCAAGGGAAAGGAAAAACGAGCTTCAGAACCACATTAAGGAAAAAACCCCAAACTTCCTTTAATTTTAAAGTTCTTTGCTCTCAAAAGGACCTGGACATCCTTAGTCTTAATAATAGCCTTTCATTTTAATGACAAAAAAATGACCCTTCTATTTCTAACTAAAAGTCACATCTGATGGATTCCAAAATGAACTAAGGAAGGAACTGAAAGATTTTTCTTTTTTAGGGCTTCCTCTAAACCTGACAATAAGAGGATCCAGAGTGCCTTAATCAACAAAGGGAATGTCAGGGCAATGGACTCAAGCTGTAGAGACCACAGCAAATCCCCACACTCACTGATGCCAACGTAGCAGACAGAGAGCAACAGGAACGCAGAAAGATCCATAGAGCAGATCACATTTTGAGGGGTGAGGAAAATAAGGAATTCTTATTTTCAAAGAGAGTCAATGAAGACAATAAAGAATACTGATTCATTTCTTCAACTGTGACACTTGAGATAAAGACTATCTGAATACTTTTTGACTACTGAACTTACAAGAGCAAATCTGAAACAAATGGTGCAAACAAATACAAACACCCTGTAAGGGCAGCTTTTCAGTCTCCTGATACTGTGGAAAGAAAGCCAGAGCCTTCCAAAGAGACTACTGAACTTTCCAATTAAGAAAATTCTGTTTTACTTACACTTCCGTTCCAGTTCTCTCATTTCTTCTGGTGGAATTTTCATTTTATCAATGTGCTCACGTAAAACACTAGCCCATTTCTGTAGAGATTCCTTCACAGTCCAAGGCTTAGACATGTCTGCAACAAAAATGACCAGGGTCTCTGGCAAGGACTCAGCAGATACAGCAAACTTCAGCAGGCCTTTGTGGTACAGGTCTCCATCCAGAATCCACACGTTGCAGCGTGTGTGATCTGGGAAAAGAGGTGAAGGTAAGTTACTACGTGACAATGACCATTAGCACTGTTTTGAGAAGAGCCACAAGGAAGAACTTGAAGGTGATGCCCACAGAATTCCACACAGAATGCAGACAGAAATCCTAACCAGAAAAGGGCCCAAGTGCTTAGTGGACAGCAACTCTCAGTCTTGGTGCCTATGAATTGTCCGGACTTTAAAATTTAAAAACTACCATAAGATATGAAGTGTCCACATTTAAAAATATTTCAGAATAACTAAGGAATGAAGTCATTTTCACTTTCAACAAGAACCAAAAGATACTAAGGAAAGCTGCAAATGTTCCCTGTTCAACTGCGCCATAGTTGAAATAATCCATTCGCCTAAGATATCAGCAATCTGTGAGGCAGTGAGCTGTGCCAAAGAGCCTGCGGTTAAACAAACTCTTCTTGTGTCATTTATACTGAGTAACGCATTCACATACTATGAAGGGTACCAAAGAGACAGGACCTTTGTATTTAAACAGCAAGATAAAATCATTACTTACATAAATGAAGACACAAATTACTAGATACTTGATAACACTAAGAAATTATAGTTTTTTTGGGTTTGATAATAATAGTATGGTTATGCTTTTTAAAAATCTTTATCTTTTAGACTTACACTTCGAAATATTTACAGATGAAATGATATAATGTCTGAAATTTACTTGGAAATAATCCTGTGTGGAGTGAAGGGAGAAGAGTGAGGGTATAGTTGAAACAAAATTGACCAAGAACCGGTAGCTACTGAAGACGGGTGATGAATACCTGGGGGTTCATGATATTAGTCTCTGCACTTTATATATACGTCATAGTTTTCATAATAAAGAGTTAGAAACATATATATACTAATGTGCAAATGCTGATATTTAAGGAAGCATGTGGTTCTAAATCATACCTGGATGATCAAACTACAGAAGACAATTCTTCAAATTGATAATATATTTTTTAAAAATTTAGACATCTTTTATGAGAACAATTTTTTACAAAACTGCCTTGAGGAAAAATTCCTACCATCAAAAATATTGTTTCATTAACTTTTTCCCCAATAAATTCCAATGTATACTTTAAAAACCTGTCTTCCACTAGCTACCTTTTTAAATATAATCAACTCATTAACATGCTGCAAAAGTTTATATTCATGTCTTTATTCCAACATTACAATAAAGTGTCTATATCCAGCTACACTTTCAAATTCTAATACGTTTTAGACAGTAGTTTTGGTTTAGGTTTGATGAATGCCTTCAAAAATACTGCTCTCTACCAAAAGCCTGCAAGCATGAAATGTCTACCTAGCACCAGGCATGCTTCCTTTTTTCCAGTCTCTCTCCCTGCTATACACTACACATAACTCACCCATATGCTTAGAGAGCACACACACCACACATGGTGTTACACAGATGCCTCCAGCCCTGTAGGCAGAGGTCCCTTGACATGCAGTGTCCCACCACAAACTAGGGACAAGCCAGAGACTATTTTCTCTATCTGGGTGAATGTCTGCAGGAGTGTGTATTTATAATCTAGTTATACCATACAATAAAAAAAGACTAGAACTGAAACACATATAATTAACTATAGGTAAGGACAACCCTTTCATCAAAGAGGAATTCACACGGGGGAGGCCTAAAAAAAAAAACAAAACATAAATACAGACACCAAGAAGCTTTTAAGGTAACCTTAAAGAAATCTGAAATAGATGTTAACGTACTTCAACTTAAAGGCAAGAGAATATGGTTAGCATGAGGCTTTGGCATGAAACACACTCATGCCGTCTTGAAATAGAAGAGGCTGTAGAGGCTCACAGAATATCCACACCATATTTTGTACTTTCAAAAGGAACAACAAAAAAGGGTACTAGAGCTACCATGTTTCAAGCACTCTGCTACACCTGACACACATCATTTCTCATCTATTGACTTGTAAAATAGGCACCAGTACCTCAGTTCTACTAATGAGGAAACTAAGGTGCACAGTGGTTAAGTTGCCCAAGGCCACACAACTAGTTAAGTGCAGAAGTGGATCATGAACCAGTTCTGCCTGACTCTAAAACTCAAGTTCCACAATAATCATGCTGCCCAACAAAGACAGCAAGCAAAAGACTCCAGGGGGCCTAGATAGGCACCTGAATAACTCTGTCCTTTGTACACATGAGAACCCTAGGCACTAGGTCTACCTCCTGCCTTCCCTTCACATCCTTTAGGGGAATGTTCATCATGGCAAAGGAAACGGGGGGAAGGAGAGGCAGGAATCAAATCCCTGTGGCTCTATGATGACCACTAAGTTAATATTAACATGAGGCCTGTTTCCAAATTTTAACAAAAGACCCCTACCCATACCCTCTACTAATAACTCTTAGCAATCACAAAATTACAGTGCTGGAAAGGACCCTGGCCAGCCTCTTCATTTTACCAGTAATTAAACAAAGACACTTCATCTTTAGGCCACATAAATAACTTCCCTACAAATAAAAAGACCCAGGCACCAATAATTATTTATTTTACAGTCATTCAAAAGACCTAACACAAAGACTAAAGGATTATAAAGGAGGCATTACTAAGTCCTGGTAACCAGAAAATATTATTCCAATCCAAGCCACAATTATAACAATATTAAAAATAATATCCAATCCTTAAAGAGTGTTTTTAGTCATCCTAACTACTCTGTAGGTAGAAATTATTACGATCTACGTTTTAGAGACAAGGAATTAAAAAAGAACATTATCACCCCCATGTCCCTATCCCCTTCACCAAACACAGGAAATCAGCTTTTCTAGACTGTCGCAAAGAGACTCAGAAAACTCTCTTGTGAACATGTTAAGTTGTTGCACTCTGAGCCACACCAATTGCAGACTTTCCACTAGAACCAGGCAGGGTAACAACGGTGCTCAAATCGGCTGCCAAGCATTTCTCTCACAGAGAAGTTGAAAGCTTTTAAAAACACTGTTTATACTACCTTTATATGTACCTGAAACTTTACCCTCAGTATCTCCTTTCAAATGGAGGTTAGCCAGAGCAGCAGCTAAGAGCCCCATTCCCCATTTCTGCTAACATTCCATGTGGGAAAGTGGGTAAGGTCCTGCCAGACACATACACTTCATCTATTCCCTTGTGACTAATTCTTGTAGAACTAAACAGAAAATTCAGAAAGCCTGGACATGTTGCAAGAGCTGCAGTCAGGGAGTCGGAGTCCTGCATACACCCCTGACATGGATCAATGCTTTACTCACCATCTCTGTCCTCGTCGTGGACGCTGAGGTAGAGGTACTCTAGGCCTCTTCCTTTTTTGCCATGCTCAGCTCCTTGTAGCTTAGTCATAAGGGTTGTTTTACCAGAACCATCTTCACCTACAAATGATTTTTGCAGGAAGATAAAGGTGTACTGTTTATTCTGAGCAAAGAAGAGGAGTCGTGACATTCGAATGACGAGGAACAGCTAAAAATTTCATGCAGAGCCTCTGTCGAGGTCTCACCTTCATTCATAAACAAAACAGGCTTCGCTGTAAGGGTGGCTGGAAGGATGAGACTGAAGGCCTGAAATTCCCAAATGACATTCTACTGTAGTTATCCTTACCTCACAAGAGAAGGACTAAGTCAGAACCATGGGCCCCATCTATAATTCATAAGACATGTATTTGGACAAGTGCAAGAAAAAAATGGGGCTAGTCTCTCACAAAGTAAATGTTTACCACAAGGAAGAAATCTTCAAAATATAATTAACCTCCAAGTCTTAGAAGTCTGAACTAAAAACTCTCTGATCCTGCCTCACAACCATGAAGGACAAAGGTTATTATTCACTTCTGATTTTAGTATATCTCCTTCATTAACATTCTAAGTCTGGGAAACGGATGAAAATAATTACAGACCTAAGCAAAACTCTTAAGTACAGTCTCCATAATTATCAAGCATCTTCTTATCTCCCTCTGCCCAACTAACAAGCCCCCTCTCCACTGGCAAAAAACAAAACCCAAGGAGAACCACAAAGAAGAACCATCAATAGGTATCCCTGGGATTTAATAATATGGCATTACAGAACATGAGCACTAAAAGGCATTCCATCCCCAAGGCCACCACTTCATTCAGGCCCTCCACATCCCACCCAGACCATGGAGAGCACCTGTCAGCCTGACTTCAGTAACCGCCCATTTCAAGACACCCACCACTCCGCCGCCAGAGTTATCTTTCTAAAACACAGATCTAGTGATCTTGACAATCTCTAACAGTTCCCTATTACCTGCTGCAGTGGTTATAACCTGAGGACTACCACTCAGAAACAGTGGGAAAACCACTAAGGCAATAATTCTTATGAGGACCGGGGGATGGAAGTGAAATAAAAGACCCTTGAGGATAAGAGCCTTTCGGGAAAAAGAATCAACTCTTCAACCTTTCACAATATGCCCCCAATTTAACTCATCAAAAACCTTCTGCAAGAAGATTCTAGCTGTTTCGAAATCCCATACCCTCTTGTCACCTCTATGCACCTGCAAACACTGCTCCTCCCTGCCCCTGCCCGTTGACGCTTATCCTTCAAAACACTAGACCCAAAAATTACCTTCTTTCAACCCTACCAAGTAGTGCAATGCTCCCATACTAATCTGCCCTCAGTGGCATGGTGTAGTGCAATCACCAACACATGTCTCCCACTAGACAGATTCCTGTGTAGTGTATGAGAAATGTCTGTGCTCTCCCAGGGCCCGGGCCACAGGACCCACTTGACAAATAGCTTTGCTGTGTGAAGGAACCCAGTCAAACTTCCTCAATTGTCTGGGAAAAAAAAAAAAAAAAACCAGGCAGAAAGGTAAAACGACCTGACTCGGGTAACTCAGCAGTGACGGGTGGAAAAATGCAGGAAAATCGTGGCTACTGACTCTCAAGCCTGCTGCCCATCCCGTAAAAATGTCCAAGTGCTGCTCATGAAGACCAAGGAACTACTCTGACATCTCCCTACAGCTCCGACCCCAAGTCGCCTCGTTCTCCCAACACCTCCACCTAAGCTTCTCATCTACTCCCACCGCTCTCCACCGGGTAAAGGCATTTAAAGCCAGGCTGATTCTGCAGCCAAGTGACTGAAGTGATGTGTCGACAACCCCCGCCAGTACCACTGGGCTCTCTAAAAGGCGCAATATCCCAACCTCGGGCGTGGTGGGCTCGGCCACTCTCCGGCTGCCCAGGCTCTGCAGTGCCCTCGCGGCCAAGGCAAACTGCGGGAAGGCTGCGGGAAACTGGAAAGCTGAACCTGCAGAGAGCTAGGCTGCTGAGGCGTGAGAGGGGCGCCTGCCTCGCCCACCCAGCTCCCGGGCAACGCCCGCCGCCGGCGCTCACCGAAAACCAGGATGTTCTTGCCGGACGGCAGCTTGGACCTGGCGCGAGTGGACACTTCGCTCAAGATCGAAGACCTACGGCGACAATGACAACAGCGGTCAGTCCCAGAGCCGGTCCCTGAGGCCGAGACCCTGGACCTGACCGGCCGCCCAGTCTGTCCGACGATCTGACCCAGCCTGGCCGGCGGGCTCCCCACCCAGCCGCGTCTTCCCCGGCCAGGCCGCCCCGCGGCCTCACCACAAACTCTGGCCCTCCTCCTCCTCACTGGTCAGGTCACCGGCCGCCGCGACTGCCGGCCCATTGGGGCCCAGCAGCAGCTTCTTCTCCACCCCCACCGGCGCCATCTTGCCAACTGCAGCCACAAAGAGGGCCCTCCCCCGGGCCCGCCGAGGACCCGCGAGGACCCTGGCCGGGCCGCCCGCCGTCCGCCGTCCGCCGTCCGCCGTCCCCGCGCAGCGCCTCACACCGCCTGCCCCGCAGGTCTGCGCCGCCCGCCGCGTCCCGCAGGGCTCGCGACGTGCGCAGGCTCCCGGAGGTGGAGAGGCAGCCGCGGTGGCGGGCGGCGGTCAGGCGGCCGCCGGGGCAGCCATGCGCAGGGAGGTGCCGGTGGCGGTAGGAGCGCAGCCTCCTGGGCGGGGGTGAGCGCTGGCGGCCTCTGCTGGCCGAGAAGCGCAGCGGCGTCGCGCTCCGCCGTTCGTCCTCGCTCCACTTGCTGCTCTGGGTGTGCCCGGACAGCCCAGGTAGCTAAGTGGACAGACGGGGAAAGTCCAGGCTTCGGAATTAGACTAATACACGATAATGGCATTTATCCAGCGCTTATCGTGTGCCAGATGGTACATTGTGTCGTACATTGTCTCACTGAATCTTATCTCACGTACTTAAAGATGAGGAAACTGAAGCTCAGACATTTTAAGAAACTTGCCCGAAGACGCAATGCCACAAAGTAGCATACCGGTACTCCCAATCTTATTCACCAATATTGAACTATCCTATCATGAATTTTGCCTAACCCTAATCAAGCCCTGCACTGAAAGACCACCCTTAAACGAGACCCCAAAATCTTCATAAATATCCCGCTTTTGCCCTCCTCCTTCGTAGACCCTATAAGACTGTCGAGATAGTGCCTACCGCAGTAAACGATACACTTGGCTTTGCTTTATCAACAGGTTACTTTGATATTTTCAGGGATCCAGCATTTGATATTAGAAATGGGAGGCTTTAAGTTCCTGTCAAATAAAGCGGGGGGGGGAAGGGAGTGTGAAAGGCGGAGGGAGAGGGAAAAAATACAATTACATGGGTCCATAATAGCCAAAAGTGCAAACAACCCAAATGTCCATCAGCTGATGAATGGATTAACAAAACGTGGTATATACATGCAATGGAATATTTGGCAATAAAAAGAAATGAAGTACTGATTCATGCTTCAACATGGATGAAACTTAAAAACACTATGCTAAATAAAAGGAGTCACTGGGTGGTGTAAACGGTTAAGGTGCACTGGGGTGCTGACCAAAAGAAGGTTGGAAGTTCGAGTCCACCAGGAGACACTTTTGAAGAAAGGCCTGACAATCTACTTAAAAAAATCAGCCATGGGAAACCCTATGAAGCACAATTCTACCCTCACACACAAACCATCACCATTCAGAGTCAACTCCATGGCAACTAGTACTGGTAGAGTCTCACAGTGGGGTTAAAAATAAAAACCCTTAAATAATAGAGCCTAAGAGTTAACTATCTTAACTATAATCTAAGAGCTGGTCATGTAGGATGCCAAGAAGCATCCTGGGTAGAGTCCATAAAACCCACTGGGTCTCTAGCAAACCAGCCAATTCCCTACACTCCCTTCTGCTGTCGGGACATACTTAGGGTCACATTTCTGTCTGGGCATGTTTTACAATGAGGTGTCTAGTAGTCAGTGACTAGGCCCATGAGGGGACATGACACTGTTCTGTTAAAGCATGAAGTAGCTGGGGCTTGTGGGCCTGAAGGATTTAGAGGGAGGGGAGAAGAAAGTGATAGGCACCTATCTTTTTTCCAAGGGCTGGTTTGTTGAAAAGGGATTCAACTTTTGTGATTCTGCAGAATGTGCCCCAGAGAAGCACATTTCATTTAGTATACGGAAGAACTGATCATTACCACCCTGTGAAGGAATGAATTACAGATTTCTGAGTATATATAGTCACCAATGTCTAGATTATTGTACATCAGTCCATGCTTCTAGCAGGAAACTATAACTGAAGTCAGTTCCAACTCTAGTGGTCTGTGATTATTAAAATCTTTTTTATTCTCTATTGAATTGGCCAGTTCTGAATTCCTAAAGCCAAACAGTCCTGTAATAAGTCATTATTTTGCTTTCCTTTTGATTTGTCTTCACTTATTACCAAATCTCTCCATTTGAGGAAATAAAAGCGGCTCATATTAACCAAAATTTAGCCAGGGGTTAGGATGAAATTTCAAGGTCTCAGAAGGCAGTACAGGTTATTTTAAACATGGTGTCACTAACTGACACAAAACACAGTGTCTAAGCTACAGTACGTCATCATACTCTTGGGGGTGCTTCTGTAAGTATTGTTTGATTTTCCGTTTTGTACATAAACTCCAATCAGTAAAAGAACTGTTACCTAAGACCCGCTTTAAGTAGAAAAAATGCTTAGATTGTATCTGAACAATGCTAAGAGACAACTTGTGATTATCTTAACCAATATGGCTGAGGCAACAGAAAAAATGTTTTCCCTTGTGACCTGAACAAACTTTCATAACTCTTATGAAGTATAAATTAAAATAACCTACTGGACTATTTAAACCATGTCCCTAGTGCTCAGTAAATACTGACAAATAATATACTATATTCATTCCCACTTTAAATGTTGCAAGAAATTTTCCTAATTGTAAATTATTCTCTTGCCTGGAAGAAATTCTACATTAAAAATAAAATTTTCTGCTTATTGATCCTATGGAATTTTCACTGTGGATCACAAAATAAGAAATTTAACAAAAATTCTGCTTTATCCAAGTAGAAATAGTTATGATCCAAAAAGGTCAAAGAATACATACTTGTAGGGAAATGCCCCCTGGGACTGAAGAATCTACTAGAATGGCTAAGCAGTGAACCAATGCCTATAGAGCACAGCTTTCAGGCCCTGATACTTTATCACTTTGCCACATCCGCAGCACTGAGAAGCCCAATGGAGGCTGCAACAGCATCCTTTGGGGATCATGGTGCAATGTAAAGTGAGCGAGAAAACAGAAAATTGAGACCTAATAGTTTGATTTTCCACTAGAAGAAAACTAACATAAAAACCAACAACAAAAAACTTTTAAACTTTGAAAAGTAGTGAAGGGCACCATAGAATGTAGGAGTATTCAAAACAAATGCACAATTAGTATTCAGAAGAGAAACATTTTAATTAACAAAGTGTCAAATATTGACTTAGTTTGTGGGAACCTCACTTGAACAGATTGGGAAACTGTCTTTCTAAATTCTGGGGATAAACTTTGGCACTGGGTCTAAAAAAACAAAAATCCAAACGTCTCAGATAGTATTAATTATACTATAACGTCAAATAATGTTCAAAGACTGACAAGTTTTTTTTCCTCTGAGCTGTTCTTTGAGCTTAAAGAAAAATAAAAGCATATTCCTAAACAAATTTTGACCTTATGAAAGCATTTTCTCTTAATAATTTGCACACTGAAAATGTATTTTTTTTTAAATTATTGTAATAATTTGATGATTTCCAGAATAACAAAAACTTTTTAATTAAATGGAAACCTATTTCCACATTCTCTGGGTGTTCAAAAGAATATTTATAATTTTTATATCTTCAAGGCACTGTATTTTGAGTCCAAATTAAAAACTGATAAAGTCTTTATCCAATCAAGAAGCTGCACACTTCTGGCGTTTGGTCAGCTTGTGGTATTTGTGAGCAAGGTCCACAGCTGTCCTTCCTTGCTGAAAGGGGAAAGACCACAAAATTGAATTCCAGTGATTTCCCATTTTCTTAACTCCACTGAAAAGATAATTTACTTCTTCTTCAGTAAAGTTTTTACGAATTCTTCTTTTCTCTGTAATTAAGAATTGTAGAATATATTAGTTCTTGCAGGAAAAAAAAAAAAGATCTTAAGATCCAAATAACTACTTAACCTATTCTAAGGATATGAACTGTATAGTGAGAAAACTTCATGCCTGGGATACTTATCGTGTGAATATCTACTTCAATTGAAAAAAAAAAAAAAAGACTGCTCACTAGTAAGCTAGATGCTGTGACTTCTTCAATAATTGTAACTTAATCCTATTACAATAATACTTGTAATATCTTTCAATCCAGAAACACAAAAGTTCATAAACATTCAATTGTTAATTCTTTCAACGGTCCTGTGAGGACAGTTAACAAACAGCTTACCTATTTTATAGATACAGTCTTCCCAAAGGGCTCCATAACTTCATAGAATGGAAAAGAATATCAACACTTGTTACTTTAAATATCAGGCTGGATTATTATTTTTAAAGAATAAAGGTCGTTTGAAGTTCACTTTAAAAAACACATTCACTAACTATACAGTGTATTCAGCTTGAGCAAAAATTTAAAAAAAAATAGGTTACATAATGGGAAAGGAAGTTTTTAATCTATTTGTTTTTTTAGGAATACTTTCTACAATAGAAAATATGCCAGTTGGTATTCATAAACATAAATATTTTCTGGTGATGATTACTAAGAAATGGTTTAAGCTTTTCATTTATTGTTAATTCATGTTATCATTGTTGGTAGATGCTTGTGAGGAGTAGTTTTTTGTACTTCCACTGGAGGCTGTTTTTTACTTCTGTGGGATTGGAAGTAGTAGTGCTGGGAGACTTAAAAAATTCTGCCTTGGCCATTTCTCCATCTCAACTAAGATAACTGAGATCTCCACAGCTCAGATCTTTTAAAACAGAAGAGAAAATCTTACAGCAGAAGGATGAGAAATCATCTGATTACTACTTAAGGGTATTACTTAGAATTCTCCATGAGGGCAGGGATTTTTGTCTGTTTTGCTCACCATTGTATCCCTGGTTGCCTAGAACAGTGTCTGACACATAGTAACCAAAAAAAAAAAAAAAAAAACACCACTGCTGTTGAGTGGATTTCGACTCATAGTAATCCCACAGCACAGAGCAGAACTGCCCCATAGGGTTTCCAAGGCTGTAAATCTTTACGGAAGCAGACTGTCACATCTTTCTCCCATGGAGCTGCTGGTGGTTTCAAACAATCGACTTTTTGGTTAGCAGCCAACTGCTTTAACCACTGCACCACCAGGGCTCCTTTGACACATAGTAAGTGATCAGTAAATATTTGTTGAATGAAAAAAAAAAATCATTGCCAAAACTGTTTCAAAATTTATCAATAAATTACTCCTTACTTTGGCCATCTACTGGAAAACTGAAGTTATCCAAGAAACAGATGGTTTCAACTTCACTTGCTACATGATTTGATCTCATTATAATCAAGACTGAGTGGGTTATTATAATTTTCATTATATTGAGGTATTTGGGTTGTTCATGTAAAGCCAATCCCCACTTTTCCACTGCAGCTGCCATTTCACTGACTCCTGTACTTAACATCTGTGCCCAATTCTTCAAAGGTTTGCAGCAGAATACTGGGCAGCCTGAGAGGAGTCTTGGTGGCTTCTTTAGTGTTCCTCTTAATGGCAATCAGTGTCAGGGAAGAAAAGGGGAAAATGAGCAAGATGGCTCAGGTCTAGAGACTCCTATTTTCAAACCCTCTCAAGATACCAATCCACCCTGGAAGAGAACCTTGGGGAAATCTTCAAATGATTATGGAGACGTTGTAATGGTCGCTTCTCAAAAGAATGGTATCAAATTTGGGTGTAACCTACAATCAAAGGAATGGTAGTAAATGTCTCTAATAGAAAAGGGAAATTTATCAAGAGGGGAAAAATGGCAATACATTGAACATCCCTGGCCAGGTTGTAAGAAAGAGATAAAAACTAATCGAATCACCGCTTTCTCAAGATGCCTTTCTAAATTCTAAAAAAGCAGGCCGAATTATTCACTGTTTGGTTTTAGCTAGAGCAAGTTTTAACCTACAAAAACTGTATGGTATATATTGGCTGACTGTCACTTAACAGTATTTAGGATGCCTCTTTATAATCAACATATGAGCACAATTATACCCATGTCCTACAGCTCTGCAGATGACTTTACATATCTGCTTTTGAGGCATATTGGAAAAAAATCTATTAATTAATTTGATGTCAATCTCCTTGTCAAGAACAAGATTTCCAAGTGTAACACATTCATATGGAAAAATACTCATTTTCTAGCAGTTTCTAGAGAAAATATTGCTTTAAAAAGTAGGCTCCCCTGTAATGGTACTATACATATTTTTAATTTTCATGCAGAAGTTTTAACCTAGAAAAAGACTCAGATATAAAAAGTACATTTGAGAGGAGGCAGGGCCAAGATGGCAGAGTAGGCAGAGGCTTCAGTGGTCCCTCTTACAACAAAGACCCAAAACACCAAGTGAATTGATTATATATGACAATCTAGGAGCCCTGAACATCAAAGGCAAAGTTGAGGAATCGGACTGAGTGGCAGGTGGAGGGAGAGACAGTTGAGAAGCAGCAAGTTGCGAAACATTACCGGGTGGCAACAGGCACCCTGCAGCCGGCACCCGCAGTGAGGCAAGCAATGGTGCTCAGGATGCGTTTTCCACATTGGGAGAGGCCAAGTGGCAAGCCTCCAGAACCAGTGAAAAGCGGCGCTCAATCGGCAAAAGATAAGTACACACATTTAACCTACTGAACAGATGAAAAAACACCCCCTTTGTGAAAAACCTCTCTCTTACTTACCTGCCCCTCCCCGCTCTGCACTCGGTCCCAGGCTGGCTTCAGCCACTCCCAAGTCCCCTGGGCCTGAAATAGGATCTGTCATGCATCCTGAGCCATTCTCTCAGCCTTGGAGAGGGAATAAATCAACCAATAGGAAAAAATAATCTGCCAGCTCCCCTAAGCCAGGAACTTAGGGTAGACACAGCTTCTTTCCCTAGGCACAGGCATAAGGGATCCACAGACTCTGAATGCCTTTCACCTCTGCATAGACCTGTATGGGCCCATTTCAACAGTGTAGGCCCTCATTAGCACAGTACAACAGGGTATATACCTGAAGCCTAACTTCAACTGTTTCAGCTATATGCTGGAGTGGCAGGTTTGTGAAATTTGACACTGCTCTGCCCATTAAACAGGGTCCTCACCTACCACATCAGGGGTCTGAGGACTGGTAGCTCCACCCACGCCACCTAGCCACCAGCGAAGGGTTCCAAGAATAAGTAGTGCCTCCCAGTCCTTACAGGAAACAGCATTGGGTGCCCATAGCCCGGCTGCAAAACCTACCCACCTATGAACTCTAGAGAACAGGGACATGCTTTCATCCCAGACACTCAGGGGCAGCCGTCAGCCCCCTGCCTTGCTCAGTGCGTGACCCCCTACTGCAGCCAGATACCTGTGCCTACATCAATCACCCCTGCCCGTCTAGGACTGCAGGTGACTACCTGGACACCTAAGATGAATCTATACAAGAAAAGTAAACAGACTGCTGGGCTCATATACCTAGTAACAGATCTAACCATCTGGTGACAGGACATTAGAGCTTCAAAGGCACCAATAATCAAACTAGCTCACACGAGTAACCTATTTGGGCATATCAAAAGAAAGCAAGAAGCTAGGACACAGGAAGCGAACATAAAATAAATAAATATAATAACTTATTGATGGCTCAGAGACAACAGTCAATATCAAATCACATAAACAGGCAGACCACGATGGTTTCAGGAAGCTCCCAAAACAAAGAATCAAGAAATTTTCCAAAGGAAGAGAACTTCTTGGAATCACCAGAGGTAGAATACAAAAGATTAATATACAGAACTCTTCAAGATATCGGGAAGGAGATCAGGAAAAACACAGAACAAGCCAAGGAACGCACAGACAAAGCAACAGAGGAACTAAAGATTAGAGAAAAGCATAATGACAAACTTAATAGGCTGCAAGAATCCACACAGAGACAGCAATCAGAAATTCATAAGCTTAACAATAAAACTTCAGAATTAGACAACTCAATAGAAAGTCACAGGAGCAGAATTGAGGCAATGGAAGTTAGAATTAGCGAGACTGAAGATAAAAGCACTTGACACCAACTTATTTGAGGAAAAATAAGATACAAGAATTTTAAAAACTGAGGAACACTAAAATTATGTGGGACTCTCTCAAGAGGAATAACCTACGAGTGATTGGAGTACCAGAACAGAGGGGGATAACAGAAAATACAGAGAGAATTGTTGAAGATTTTGTTGGCAAAAAACTTCCCTGATATCGTGAAAGATGACAAGATATCTATCCAAGATGCTCGTTGAACCCCACATAAGGCAGATCCCAAAAGAAAGTCACCAAGTCATAAATACAATCAAACTTGCCCAAACCAAAGATACAGAGAGAATTTTAAGAGAGCAGCTAGAGATAAACAAAAAGTTACCTACAAAGAACAGTCAACAAGACTAAGCTCGGACGACTCAGCAGACACCATGCAGGCAAGAAGGCAACAGGATGACATATATAAAGCCTTGAAGGAAAAAAACCTGTCAGCCAAGAATTATATATCAAGTGAAACTGTCTCTCAAATATGATGGCAAAATTAGGACATTTCCAGATAAACATAAGTTTAGGGAATCTGCAAAAACCCAAACAAAATTACAAGAAATTCTAAAGGGAGTCCTCTGGTTAGAAAATCAGTAACATCAGGTAACAACCCAAAACTAGAACACAGGACAGAGCGGCCAGATATCAACCCAGATAGGGAAGTCACAAAAACAAATCAAAGCTAAAACACTGAAAATAGGGAAAAAGAGACATCAATATGTAAAAGATGACAACATTAAAACAAAAAAGAGGGACTAAAAAATGTAGTCACAGATCTTTCAGGTGGAGAGGAACACCAGGCAAGATAAAGAAATAAAACAGTGGTTTAAGCTTAGAAAAACAGGGGTAAATACTAAGGTAACCACAAAGGAAACTAA